TACAGAATTCTTTTTGACAATTCTTTATACCAAATTTTTCAAGAAAACTAAACTATAAAAAACTTTATAGTTAATATATTTATAAACAACAAAACTTTATCAAGCTGCTGCTGAGTACAAAGTCCATTTACTAATGTTCTGTGCCTAAAATAAAAATAAAAAAACTAGCAGACTTTTAAGTAAGACACCTTGGCAGACTTTGGTACTATTAAGCAAAGATATAGTAGAGAGACTCTGGAGCTTTGTCAAGATCAATAGATATGAAAATAGAAGTAAAGACTTGGTTAAACATGTTATTTTATATAGTATATTTTTATAAACTCTTTTCAATTTGGTACTTTTTCTATTGTCCCTTTGGTTTTTTCAAAATTTCAACAAATTAAGTATTTCAGTTTATCCTTTTCAAAAGATTAGCAGTATTTACTCCTTCTAATTTAGAAACACTTATCAATTCAGAATCCAGTCAAGAGTGAAAATAAAGAATGACATGTGAGTGTTTTGAAAAATTTTAAAATAAAATTTTTTTCTAAAAGGTTCTTTTAGGTATAGCTTTTCTTTTTTTTTTATATATAGTATTGTTATATTCTATTTGCTTTTTGCATTCTTCTTCTTTTTATTTTTTGTATATTTTGGTTATTCATTTAGGTAATGTAGGTTTTCTTCTTTTTTTTATTTTCTTTTATTTTTGATATTGTTTTGTTTTATTCTAGTAAAATCTAGGGTTTCTTAAAGTTGAATCGAATCAAATATCAGCTATATTTGAATTTGATTGAATTGAATAAACCTGATTTAAATTTAATTTGATCAAATCAAATCAAATTTATTTGTAATTTTTAAAAAATTTTAAAATTTGGTTGCTTTTCAAAATTTTCAATTTACACAAAATTTTACTAAGTTAATCAATTTTTTGTATTAAGCAAAAAATGTTCTCTAATTAAAATAGCCCTAGTTTCATAAAACAAAAAAGGCAGTTGTCTTAATAAAATTTTGTGTAAATAGCTATTGTATCTATATTTCAATAAAAATTTTCAAATATTTGTTGAATTAAATTAAATATTTTGTCAGTTTGAAATTCTCTTTAGATAAGAAGTTATAATAAGAAAAAAGATTGCTATAGCAGGTTACTTTTAGATATCTTTAGACAACTAAATGGGTTACACTTTAATATTAATAGCTTAATTACTATACTTTGTAAAATAATTGTTAGTTTACTAATAGTTATACTTTAGAGTTTAATAAAGATGTGATATAACTGCTAAATAGAAAAAATTTAATAATTTTAAGATTAAAATCTTTTTAAATAGTATATTACAGGTAGTATACAAAAATTTGCAAAAAATATGGTACAGGAAATCTTAACTTACTAATTTAATAGATGATCTTTAAAATCTATTAACTCTTTAAAAAATTAAAATTTTAAAAAACTAACTAGTAATTTTGTTTATTAAGACAAGCTCACAAAATTATTACTGGTACTCCAGATCAGGAACCCATAAAATTTTAGATATAAAATTTTTACAAAAATTTAAATTTCAAATTCTAGAGAATTTATATCTAAAATTATCAAATTTAACTAAAATTATCTAAAAATTTCTATACTATATTATAGTTTGCAATACATAGAGATGGGATACTGTGCAGGTGAAATATTTTGAATTCAGAATATTTCAGAATTTTACAATTCTACCATAATATAGGCATGTATATACTGCATAGTCTTCGCAATAGATTCAAAAAATTTTTGATTTGCCTATCCCTAGTAATACATATTTTATTTTAATAAAATTTTATACAAACTTATTTAACTTTTAAAACATACAGTACATGACTAATTTGCATTAGAGACATAAATTCATGTGACTTGGTGTAATTTAATTCCTAATCACTTTTATATATGGTTAAAATTGCAATCTTATCAGTTATAACAATATTTTTCAAAACAATTGGCAAAGTTTAAATACTAATTCATTGAAAATTTTTACAATGTTGTATTTTAACCAAAAAAAAAAAAGAAACTTATAAAATTTTTCAAATTTAAATCAAAATTTATCTAAAATTTATTAAATTAAATCAAAATTTATCTAAAATTTATTAAATTTAAATCAAATTTATTAAATTTTGCCTAAATTTTTGTTGTTATCAGAAAAAATTTCGAGTTTTTAAAACTAAAGTTTTACTGGTTCCTGCTCCAGATTAAATTTATATAGCGATAATATATTTTAAATATCTTGTTAATTATGGTAATTTATTCGCTATAATGATTATTTAAATAAATTTTTTTTTATCTATAACAATTGACAAAAATTATTTATATCTTTAATCTAGAGTAATATTAATAGTAGCTCTGGAGTATAAACCATTCTATTTGACTCTTATGTACTCCTAAACTACTCTGGAATATAATACTCCATTAACAGCGCTAGAATCATCGCAGTGGATGGGCTGAATTGATTTTATTTGTTTAAATTTATCCATGACGAAATAATGGCACAAAAATTTCCAAACCGGAAGGAAATTATCCGGAAAGTCACTTTGAGATCGAACAATTTCGTTCCGATTTGGCTCAAAGATCACGGTACCTCCAAATTTTGCACCATTGCTTTGTCACTCATCAATAAACTTGTTTTTAGGTTAATTGTCTATAATAATAAACTTGTTTGTACAAATTATTAATGAAATAGTGGTTGCCTATAAAGTGAGCAGTACTGGTTAGTCGCGCAGCAGATCGGTCAAGATTTAGCAATAACACTAGCCAACTATATTATAGCAAGAAGTTAGCGTCTGGGCAATTTTATTATGTGGGTTACTGGTTTATTAATAGAATTTTAACGATTTTAGGCAAAATTCAACAATTCCGACCCATTCCGACCCGGAATCTTGTCGCGCGACTAATCTATTCCTTTGTCGACAGTTCATTTTATAGATAATTTATTTTATTAACAACTCATTTTACTGAAAAGTAATTATATCATCATTATTATCTGAATTAAGTTCAAAATTATATTTAATGTTAGTGTAAGTTATAAAAAAACTTATATGATATGAAATAGCAAGAACATTCTAATTTTATGATATCAATTTTTATAGCAATAATTAATTTTTTAATATATTAGGTATTAAATTTTATAAATTTTAAGCCGAAATAACTTTGTAAAATTATAATAAACTCTATTTTAATAAATTAATAAAAAATAAATCTGTTTTTTTGTCAAAGTTTATGTTGCTAAGTTGTCATTTTTTATAAATCATATGTAAATATTGGATGCTTTTTTTACTTTCAGTATCGTATGCTAAATGAGTTTTTGGTGAAATAGATTGTCTAGAAAGTGAATTGTCGGTAAAATAAATTACCGATGAAAACTTGTTTACCTGTGAAATAAGTGTCTATAAATAATTTTTCCATTCCACAATATAGTTTATATAATTTCCTAATATTTAAGTCAGGCCAACTTTAGCAGTCAAGAAAACGAGTGCCACTGTGCGATGTCAATATGCTATATAAATGTTTTTTTTTTTGACTTAATACTATTTTTGTCACAAGATACGTAATCGTTTGAACAAAAAAATGACGCTTACATGCTAATTGCCTTAAAGCGGAAGACTCATAATTTGATGACTCCTATAAAAATATCAAATACGTAGCCTTGGTATTTTCCGGATATAACTAACAAGGGATAGTTCAGTCTGATTTATAAAAAACCGTTTATATATTTTAACTGCTAATTCATAGACTAAACCGAACTAAGGATTATTATTACATAATCAAAATTTTCATTTTTAGTAATCGCTTCAAATAAATACGATACGTAATTAAATTAATGATCAGGTTTATAAGGCCACGTAAAGTTAATTAATTGTTTCTCATAACATATGTGGCTCTGCCGGTCGGCTTTTAATTTTAATTACCAAAGATTTTATGCGTTTTGTTTAGAAAAATATTAAAAACTTATAAAATTTTTTTCTAAAACCTCACCCAGAAACATCTATGATAAACATCAATAAAATTTTGGGTTGAAACTTTACTACTGGTAATTATTTTATATGGCATTAGTTTTGTTTAAATCAAGTTTTGTACTTGAATATGTTTAACCAGGGCTATTTTCTTAACTGAGCTTAAACCGTTATTTTTAGTAATATCTCCCCCTGAAAATTTTGATCAATGTGACATACGTGATACTGTCAAACTTTTTAGGGACAGGATCCGTTAAAACTAAGCTTGAGCTTATATTTTTTCTATTATACTTTTGACAAGCATTGTATATATACATTATCGCTGATTTTGATTATTGGACCTTTTTTTTTAGTCACTAAAACATTACCAATGATCCCTTAAATTATATAATTCTTTTTTAGATGTTAGGTAGTTTTTTAACATTACTCAATCATATCCTTTAAATTTTGGGATACAATCAAAATCGCAGTAATAATTCCTTTCTATCCCTTATATGATATACCTTTCACACTTATATAGTTCATTATTAACATCAATCATACAGAAGAAATAACGATAAATTATTCCACTTATTATGATTACATGTTGATAATTTCTTTAACAATATGGAATGAATTTATGGATTGCGGCGCAAAAGGCCGATGAATCGAATGAACTAATCTAAAATTTTAATGTAACGTTTGACAATTAGAACAAAAAATTAGCTGGCAACACAAAATGAATTAAGTAATGAAAAAAATCATTTGATCGGTTAGTTACATTAGTCAATGTTGAGAAAACGAATCATAACCTATTAAATTTGAATTAATCTCCCGTGCATTTTTTTTTTTTTTTGGGATTATTCATTATATACCGATATGTAGCAAGAAATGTGATTAATGTTTTTTTTATTTGGTTTGATAGTTATTTTTATTATTTTGAAACTTATTATATTTTCGTTATAAGTTTTGTACACACGTACGTACGTACATATTTGAAGCAAATATGATATAAAAAGAATAGCTACACAAATATTGTATTTCTTGTGAAAAAAAAAACATATGCCGAATGCCGTCGGGCGGAATTGAACCACCGACCTCCAGTTTACAAGACTGGCGCAATGCCACTATGCTACGACGGCAATATCGATGTATCTAACTCGAGTTATATATTTTTATACTAATGTTTTGTGACCAAAAAGGAAAATTGTTATAAATTTATACCCTTTAATTCACTATTCTATGGCGATGGATAGTAGAAAGTCACTTGATTAATACGTACTATTCACAGCACAAATTCGTACGTACATATGCATAAAAAGGCGAGTTCATCGACGACTTGTTAAAAGCATTCGAAAACTAATATTAGAGTGTATCAAATTAAAAATTAAAAAACTGTCAACATCTTAGAACTGCATTATACAATCCTTGACATTGATAATTTGTATTAGGCATTAAATTACTGTACATAACGATAATAAAGAGATCAAACCCATTTATTTTTAGCGAAAGGATACACAAACGGTTTTTGAATGTAATCAATTTTCAAAATGTGAAAAATATATGCACGTATCGTGAGAAAAAAAACCAAACCTGTAATAAACAAGAAAAATGCTTATATGGAAATTATACTATATTTGATCTGTGACATAGTTTACGAACATAAAATTCTTGGCTATTTGTTTGAAACAAGTTTTCATATAAAATGATATTAGTGAAAGTCCGTTTTAGAAAAAGCAAGCAAAAAAAAAAAAAAAATTAATCGGGATTAATCCCACTTTTGGTTTACTAATTATTTATTCAACTAGCTCTTACTGTATTCTTAATCAAAGATGGAAAAGATAATAAAATTAGTAAATAATTGATTTTTTTTTTTACCTACTCTAAATGATATAGTCACACACATCCCGTCGGGACCATAATGAAAAAAATTAAAAAATTTGCATTTAGGTTTTTGCATTTATAGATATATAAGCTGGGTGCCAAATTTATCATACATTTTTATAGTGTATCGTATTTGCACTTGGGGAGTATGCACTTCGGACCAATGACCTACGTACATCATACCTTTGCTTTCGATACACCTAATCATATGACTTTTGGTCATAGGTCATATAAACATTATTAAAAAAATTATAAAGTCAACGTTATGACCAAATGACCTATGACAGTTCATAAAAGTATGTAGGTCATTTAAGGTAATCGGCCAACAACTTGTTTTTAGTTTTTACCTATTACGTAAAAAGTTTATTAAAAAAACACACTAGCGATGTTTAATACCAAACTAATTAAGGTTGTGTTCTAAAAACCTTATGCTCTTATAACTGCACCCTAATCCTAAAGTTTTATAGTAAAATTATATATCGCGGCTGAAATTTGGGTCTCGATTTGAAAATATAAGCCCTGCTAAAATCCACATATCTCTTTAAATATCAAATCTTACCCTAACCCTAAAAAAACAAACGACACCCCCTAAAAATTTTAAAATTTCGTATCGCGACATTATAATGCGTTTTATGTAGTATTTTCGTTAATACTGTATATGGGAACACTCACAGCAAAAGAAGGGGCTGGGTCAAAAATTAAGATTTTTTTTAATTTTATAATGCCGGTAATTTATTAATTCTTCAAGATATTAATTTTTTTTTTTTTAAAAAAAATTTTTTTTGTCTAGTCCCTCTTTTTGCTGTGGGAGTCCCATGTATAGTATATAACTAGCATCTGGGCACGTTCTAACGTCCGTGCGTTATTATAATAAACTCATTTGGTACATGTATGGCTTTACTGAATGATCTGATTAGCAACGTGTCTTCACTATACGGCAGGTAATCTTGAATTTAAAATCGGCTATGAGGATGGAATACGATTGGACGTCCTCAAGTATCTTTTAGCTGCACTTTCTAGTAATCGAAACTGTTGTTTCTTATAAGTTTAGATAAAAATCAATAGTATGAATGGTAATTATAGTGACGCTCAATTACTACGATGAATCAAAATAAAAATCTTCTATTATATCACAATACAAATCAAGTATATACATGTAAATTAAATCAATCAGATTCGAAAAAATGAACACATTAAAATTTTAATATCTGTCAATAAAACAATTTTAATAAATCTAAGATTCGGCCATACAAACTTAATAAATCGTTCTCATTACCAGTTTTACAAGCCTTTTTTAAAAAAAATTTTTTTTAAGTATTTTTAATATCCGGGGAGCTTTTATAAAAAGCCTTTAAAAAATTTCTTAAGTTTTTTATAAGATGAATATGGGTATTATATGGCGCAATTATGATATCTCACAATCTATTGATCGGAGTTGTTCGATTTTGTTACCAATCGATCCGTCTCGGCGAGACAAATCTATTGATACCAAAATTATGCAATTCTGATCAGTGAGTCGCAAGATGTTATTACCATTAAAGTAACATTTAAAGTAGTTATAAGTATTATAACAATATAAGTATTGTGATGCATGGTGATATTTTGTGAACCATCAATCAGAATCAAGCAATTTTGGTACCATTCGATTCGTCTCATCAAGTCGTTTATTTCTGATCAATTGATCATGAAATATAGTATGTGTGCTATAATTGGTATTTGCACCATAGTTTATCCTTTTTTTATCTATATTTTTAATTAACAATCTAATGATTAGAATTGGATAATTTTGGGACAATTCAACTCATCTTGATGTAATGAATCGGATGGTATCAAATCATTCAATTCTGATCAATAGATCATGTGTTATTAACTAAAATATTTACTTGCACCATAATACCCATACTCACCTTATATAAAATTTTTTGAAAATAAATTAAAAGCTGGGTTGTCAGATCACTTTTATATTATAGGAATTAATTCATTAAGTTTGTATAGCCTTATTAAATAAATTTTATAAAATTAGTACTGTATTTGAAAAAAGGATTCTTGATTTTGGAAATTTTATCAACAATTTCAAAATTAAGCATCTTTGCCTCAAATTTTAAAATAAATAGACTGAAATGATATGCTTTTTGATGATGAGCAAATTTACTTAGAACAAAAAGTTAGAATTATTAGTAAAATTTAGAAAATTATAGAAATTTGTATAATTTTATTAATAAAATTATTAAAAATATTATATTACTTGAAATTTTACTAATTAATCATAATTTTTTGCACAAGTAAACTTGTTTATCACCAAAAAATAGATCAAATTAGTATATTTTATTTTATTTTCTTAAATTTTGATAAAAAGATTTTATTGGTAATTTTAAAAATTTTTTTCAAAATACAAAATCAAGTATTTTTGCTTTAATTTTAAAATAGCTAAAATAAAATATATAGATTTGATATAATTTTTGGTGTTGAATAAGTTTACTTAGTGCAAAAAGTTATAATCAATTAGTAAAATTTTAAGTAATATAATATTTTAATAATTTTATTAATAAAATTATACAAATTTTATATAATTTTCTAAATTTTACTAATTGTTTCTAACTTATTGCTATAATTAAATTTGTTTAGTACTAAAAATACATCATTTTAGTGTACTTTGTTTTTTTTTTTAAATTTGAGGCAATGATACTTAAAATTGAATTTTTAATAAAAATTTTTAAAATTAAGTATCCTTTTCTCAAATTTTAAGAAAAGTAAGATAAAATATATAGATTTGATGTATTTTTTTTAATGCTAAATAAGTTTACTTAGTGTAAAAAGTTATAATTAATTAGTACAATTTAAAGTAATATAATATTTTAATAATTTTATTAATTGATTTTATCTTCATACTCTAAATAAACATGTATAGCACCAAAAAAATACATATATACTATATGTTTTCAAAATAAGCTACCTTTACCTTTTTGGATAATTTTGAATACAAAAAATCAGGAGTAGCTTATTTTTGAATATAATCAATTTTTAGTTAATTGCAAATAGTTATTACTGGTATATAGTAAAATCCAAATTATATTATGTAAATTGAAATATTATCATTTAAGTAAACTTGTTCAAAAAATCAAAATACAGATATGCTAAAATTTTTATCAAAATTAAATTACTTTTTATTATCTAATATTTAATTTTTAAGTTCAATAAATATATTTTTTAAAAAAAATTAATTTTTTTTGTTGAATATAAAAATTAAAAGCCAAATATTAAAAAGCTTTTTGATTTTAATAAACTTTTAAAGTATATATATTTTGACCTTCCAAACAAGTTTACTTAAATAACTTTAATCAATTTATATAGTACTGTCTATTTCTGAAAATAAGCTACTCATTTTTGGCTAATTTTGAATACAAAACAATAGAGAGTAGCTTATTTCAGAATTAAAAATTTATAGTAACTTTAAATTTAACAAAGGGGTAGCTTATTTTCAAATTTAAAATCAATAAGTCAGATGGTACAAAATTTTTAAATATGTTTCTGGGCATGCATTCAATTTTTCTAATATGTGCCCTGTAGTGCCCCAATTATTGAATATAATACTCTATGTCAGTGTTGTCAATTGGAAGGTCCAGTGATGATTACTGGAACTAGAAAGTTAACTAGAATTTACTAGATAGAATTGGAAGATATAGTAGTTCCAGTGTTAAGTTGTTACTAGATCTTCCAGTTAACTTTTTTTTACCACTGGATGGAAGTTCCAGTGATGTCCAGTGATGTCTAGTAATTGATGTTTCTAACATTTGTATTAGATTTTATAGGTATATAGTGGCTGAAGGATAGGTTATTCATATATCCATGCAATAACTATATTATTCATGTTTATTAAACATTGGCGCATATACAGTGCATTAACAAATTGGATATACAAACTTTAGTGTGAAAATTAATAATTAAAATAATTTGATAATGTACACAAATTTCTTTTATACGTAATAAACTTTATTTGATCGCATATATCGCATATGTATAGTGTTTAAATTGTAACACAACTTCGCATATTTAATTATTTAATGATATATACTTTTAAATTATTAAAGACAAAACGATTAAGGCCCGTAATATTGTCTTATATATTAATGCCCAAAAGCATCTAATTTTAAAAATAAATCGCTTATATTATCCTTCGGCAAAATTCTAAACTACTGTAAACTGCCAGATACAAGATCCCCTTATATATCAGACCCACACCCATTTTTTATCTTTTTTT